CCCCAAAACCCCAAAACCCCAAAACCCCAAAACCCCAAAACCCCAAATTTATTTTTAAATTGGATCTCAAATAAAATTAAAAATAAAATATGAATCCTGTTAAAACTAAGCTTTTACAGATTTTGTTTTGATTGGCATTCTGCTCAATATGTTGAGCACTCTATGCCCAATATTTTTATCCTATTTCTGAAACAAATACTCCTGACAACACTCATAATTTAAGTTATGATACTAGAGGTCAGGAATTGGAAACAAAAAGGTGAGATTCTTCATATAATTTGATTAATCATTTAAAGACTAATGATATTGGCCAGAGTTGTTTAGGAGATAACAAAAGCTCACTAGGCTTATGAAACAACTTTTTGCAATATTCAATATTTCCTTAGTTCATGCATTCATTTCAGAAGAGCATTTTTGAAAAAGTAACATTTTGTTTAAAAAATATCTTGGAACTTAACTTCAAAATCTTAATCCTTTAACAAATTAAATTTTATTTCCTTTTAAGAAATGATTCTGAGTATTTTCTATAGAGATTTGATCGATACATATCCAGACTCTCCTCCAAGACATTTAGCAAGTAAACATCATTACTAACTTATAGGATATGATGATTATGATATTTCCATACTCATTTTTGCTTCTCTATTCGTGAGCATATTGTTCTTGCCCAACTTTATCACCTTTTTCACTATCATTGGCCATTTCAGAATACTGATGCTGCTGACTCTTGTTCTTGAAGTAACTGACTTTAGTCCGGGTATTCTGAATTTTCTTACAAAGCGATCTTACGCGTTATTTACATTCCAACAGCTACCTGACGGATGGTTCAATTTGCTCGGTGAAATGACAAAGGTCAAGGCTACTATTAACCAGCCAATGACAGATAATAGCTATCTAAAGCTAGATTATTACTCTGCTAGCTCAGCGGAAGTTCACTACAAACTATTTACCATGATAGTGTATGTCATAATAGGTAAGACTCTTCTCACTCATTCCTTGTTACGAATTAAGTATCTCATTGCTTTTATTTGCAAGTTTAATTGTATAGCAATACTAAATCTTATTTATAGCTTACATCTCGCTGTTACTGTTGCCCTACATTCTTTATTTTATCCCAGGATTGATATTCAAATGCTTATGACAGAATGAACGATTCTCAAACAAAAGAAGAGAAATGAATCAACTCAAGAAATACCGTGAGGAGCAACAGGAACAAGAACTAAAAGAGGTATAACTTTTATGACTTTTTAGAGAAAATAAAGAGAGAATAAAAAGAGTAAAGACTATTTTGAATGTAAAATACTTTCTTAGACTATAGGATGTGGAGAAGAAGAGAAGAACTAAGTTTACTAACTCCACTGCTACCTTAATTAATGTAAGAAGAACCATTGAAAATTCTTAAATATTCATAGCCTTATCAAGGAGATGAAGAGAGCAGTATTGAAAAAGAGGTCTCTGAAGTAAAAGATCCCATTGAAGAAAGTAATCTCTAAATAGGTAAACCTTTCTAGATAAGGAAGACGACTATATCGCTAACCAAAGAGACGAGACTACTGACAACATTATTTCTAACAAAAATGGTAAGTATGTTATTAATTGCTAGTCAAGACACTCTTCTTGAACTCAGATGATATTGAAAATTACAACTCACAAAACTCTGGAGCAAACAATTATCGAAATAGAATTGAAGAGAGGAAGCAAAGTATCAGCATCATACACCAAGAGGCAGACCAGAGCAATAAGAAGAAAAATAGAAAAAGAAGAAAATCATTTCCTAATGTGTAAGTTAGCTTCAGTAGATTGTTATTTGATTATCTCAACTGTAGCGATATTAGTCCCATCTAGAGTCAAAATTTTCTTAAAAATTTGTAAATTAGCTGTATAATTTGCAAAGACTAAATTAGACATATTCCACTGGATATTCCTTCTTCACTTCCTCATAGAGCTTAGTTTATTTCATATGAAAGTTGCTTTTGCTTCCATATTTCCTAAATTTTTAAAACTTACATAATCCGTGATATAAAAATTATGGCTACTTCTAAGTTTTTTAAGGATAGGTTACAAGATTTGACTACTTCTTTACTTTTTGCTTAAATTTTCCTCTAGGAACCCAGAACAGATTGGACAAATAGAAATTATAAAGAAGATCACACTCAAAATTGGTATAAGGGACCTTTTTTATTCGCTAAAAGAGACATTGTATTGTTGGACAGCAATAATTGACATATTTATCCGATTCGTGATAGAATCATATTTTAGCGTCATGCTGATAAGCCTATATGAAATTAAGCGTAAGTATTTATTGTTAATAATCCAAACCAGTGCTAATATCTTTATTCCAAAGCGTCTACGTGTTAGAAGACTCATTGTTTGAAATACTGTTTTTAAGTTAATTTCATAACCTTCCTAAATCTACATCAGAATAACTGAGTAAATAAAGTTTACATCGTTCTATGTTGATCCAGACCTTTGAGATTTCCAAATTAAAATAGAGAAAATGATACTTCAATCCAAAATTTAGTGAGAATACCACTTTCTCTGACATATTTAGGATTGGAGTTGTGCTTAATTCATTTTTATTTAGACTTCCTAGGCTCAAGCAAAGGTCAAACCACGTCCCTGTACATTGCTTTTGGGATTTTAGGATTTTACTTAGTGTTATTTTTATGCATAATGGTCACTTTTGCACTGTATCTGGCCCCAAACAGCAAGTTTGTAAAGGGCTTACAACTGGATGGTTATTTAAGACTACTGTTTTATAAGATAAAGAAGAACCCTATGTCAAAAAGTTACTATACAATGAATATGATCAGAATCAAGCTTATGATATGCTTTGTTATATTTTCTGGACTAAAGCCACTCCCTTTGCTTTTAATCTTGCTGATAGTTCAGGTAAGTAAAGAATGAAGGAATAGTTTGACTGTTTTAGGGATGCTATATTGGACAACTCATTGCTTACTCGAAATTTTCAAGCTTTTTACTCAACCTCAATGAATGCATTATTGAGATATCAGTATTTGCCTCAATCATATTCATGTCTGCATTTTATAAATCTGATGACTGGGAAGATGGTAATACAGTTGCTGATCCTATAGAAAATTCATTCATTTCAGAGCTGTTTGCTTGGACTATCCTTGGATGAATCATAATTGCCATCATCATTCAGATTGTAATAGAGTGCTTTCATATATAGTTCAACTTAATTTATTCCTATCTGAGATTTTTCAGAGTAAAATTTTCAAAGAAGTAAGTTCTGAAAAGAAGAAAATCTAAATTGAAACTGAATTATTTAGAGACAATATTTAATCCATAAAGAATATCTTCAATTACCTTTAATATGCCCTACAGCAATAAATATCCCTCTTTTAGTTTTTAAATATTCTTCCATATCGCTCTTACAATTTTTGTAGAGAAAAAGAAGAAGGCGTTAAACTAGGAGAGATGGTACATTCCTCAAGTAAATAACTAATAGAAAATTATTATTGAGCATCCTTCTTTCAAAGTCCCCCCAAGAAAACAAAATTCCTTGCTAAATGCGAAGGTTATTCTCAAAGTAAATAAAGCTCCCACAGTATATTCAAGCTTGGAACCAACCTTGGGTAAGTCCTTGGTGAAAACATGAATGAAATAAAGAATGGGTCTTTAACAGCAATACATCATTAGTTAACACAATCTTCCTAACTTAACTCATATTTAGGAAGCTGACCGAATTTTATAAGAATGAAGGACTCAGGAGTAAGACTCTATTATTTAATTTTTAGAGCTATAGAAAACGAAGTCAAGGTGGTTCAAGTAAATCAACGGAGAAAAGATTAGTTGTAAGGGAATGAAGCTCATACAATCTATAGTCTAATTTGAAACTTCAAAAGTCACACAAAACTGAAAGACAGCTTGGGGGTAGATATTTTTATAAAACTTTAGAAAATGATATTGTAGTCCATCTCCCTGATAAATTCTTCAATAAACCTTTCAGCGTAAAAATTGATTGAGGAAAATAAAACAAAAGAAGTAAGAAAGACAATTGTTAGAAGATTTAAATCAGCTCCAAAACGCAAAAAGAAAATGTTTAAAGAGTTAAAATAAATTAAGAAAAAGTATTATAAAACAAGAAGAAGCTGAACAGAAAACAGTCAGGCTAAACAAATCAAGAAAATCTTCCAAAATTCAACCTAGAAAGAAGAGTTCTAAGAAAATAAAGTCCACAAATAAGCACTGGATCAAAAGACAATTTTCAACAAATAAAAGACATCTAGCAAGAGGAAGAGGCACTAGAAGAAAGGAAAATTCAAAGAAGAAAAAGTTAGACACCCAGTATTCTGAACATTCAGAAAGAATGGAAAATTCTTCACCTGAATCTCCTCCAAATAATCACGAGGAAAACAAGCTGGAGGCTAGATTTGAGTCTGAATCTAGTATCTTCCAGCTTGGACCAGAACACTTTCAAAACTTTCCTAATGATAGAGTTGACAGAGAAAGAGAGGATGAAGAAAGAGAAAGGTAAAATTAAGATGATAGAATCATCCATTATATAGCTATCCTTCTTGCATAATTCTATATAATTTAGGACTTTCTAAACCTTAAAAGTTAACTTATACCTTTCCATTATAGCAAAAGGAAGAAAGCCAAATCAAAAATAGATTTAGCAAATTGAAATGATGACGAAAAGGTTGGCTTTTTAAAAGCTTTCAATCAAACTACCGAACGAAGGTAAGAGGTGTTTTCTGATCTAAAATAGATCCTCAAAAGTTAATTACAGAAAGAACGCCTCCAAAAAGATAGATTTGCAGAATAAATCAGTAGATCCTCATGTTAGGTATTGTATTTTCCTTAAATCATAGATACATGAGATACGAAAATAAACATAAAATTAATAGATATTTAAAAGAGGAGACTAAGGTTGGCACTCATGATTACACATAGGACGATAAATACAATAATGAATCATCAATTAGCACTCAGTCAAAGAAAACTCCTTCTAAATTTAGAAATGATAATAGTAGAGCTACAAAAGGAGCAGTACTAAAGGCTGCTGGTAAAAGCATTTTCAATCCTGATCTCTCGCTCCACTCAAAATATGAATCGGCAGAGGTAATTAGCCACACTATTTATAGGATCACTCAGCAAAAGGTAATGGCAAGAATTCCTTAGGGTTATTTATACCAAAGAAAGGCTCAGGAGATAATTATTAGAATGGATTGTAATTCTTCAACGAGCATAATGCTGATTGGGGTTTTGGGGTTTTGGGGTTTTGGGGTTTTGGGG